AAAATTGGTGGCAGGTACTAATTTCGAACATAACGCAGGAGGTTTCTAAGCTTTTCTTGAGAACAGGAATGCCGGTCGATACACACCTCTTCGGGTTCTTACACACATCATGGGACTTTTTAAGGCAGACATAAGGATTTCATCCTTATCTACGAGTTGTGCAGGCGGGGAGGTCTGATTTTGCTTTGTTTCAGAAGCTTCACTCCCAGCGTAACTCTAGATTCCAAGAGCGAGGAGTTGGAGCTGGCTTATTGTGGCATCTGCGTGTGGAGATGCATAAGTTGGACAAGTGATTCTGATTTGAGACGTGCCATTAATATCATTGAAACACAAAGCTATATAGCATTGCGAAACGAAGTTTCTGAACAAGAAACCGCCAACATGAAAAATTAAACGCAGCCGTCTCCCAACATGAAGTCTGCATTTCTTCCGTCTGTTTAAAGTAAAGGACTTCACGACCTCTTCGGTGACTGGTTTTAGTGCTTATTGAGGTTAGGTATAATATGGCGAGGTCTGCATGATACTCAACACATAACATCACTTCTGGTACTATCACACGCGTATCGCTTTGGAAGGTTTAGTACACTAAAACCAGTGCTGCTTGCTTGTCTTGCTTACAATAAGCTATCTACAGCATCTCGTACGTCACTACCGCGTCCCCACCTTTTTTAGCTTTAAAGTTGTTTTGACTGAGTAGTTTTCTTGAAACTGCTTGAAAATATTAGGATGCGACAACGGTTAAGAGCGACCGCTAAGGGGAAATACATTAGTCCCTCAACAAGCTCTCTCGGTCGAGATCTTCAGTTTCGTTGCTTACTATGCTTGCTGGTGACTGGACATTAACAAATCCTACCCTAGCGTTTTCCAGATGGTTTATCACTCGACGTCCAACCACCTGAACAGTATCCTGAACGATACATGACTACTGCTCTCTGCTTGGTGTCGAGCGAGCCTCCAACAAGTTCACCCCACATGTCATGCACAATATCAGCTTCCACCGATCATCTGTATAGTACCATCAGTAAAGAGAACTCTGGAACAGTTCGCGAAATGCACATATGGTTTGGGAAAACTCGACTGAATCCTCCGTACACATCATTTATCATTCGAAGAAATTGTATTCAACAGCAATCATTAAACAACACATAAACGTTACAGAAACCAAGTAAGAAATGTCCTTTTAGCCAATTCAGCTATGCAGAACCTGTACATAATCCCCACATCCGGCGCTAAAAGAGCTGAAGGCTTTTCACCCAGGAGGAAACACCACAGACGGGGAGAGAAATAAAGCCCCTAGTTAAATGTAGTGAAGCTACAAAGACGTACCTAGCTCAGATAAGCAACTAATCGGTACTCTGAGAACTAAACAGCCCCTCTGGAGCACACATGCCACAGATATCAAATGAAGAACGAACTTCCTTTCAAATAATGAGGGTAAACGTTAATCAGTTATCCTGACAGCTAAATACGCGTCCCTTTCTGAATGTACACTGGCCAGGCTACAAAACCACTCACCGCTCGCCTTAAGTAGAGGAACGATATCACACCTAATACACCCACTCAATCACATGACGATCTATGGTAAACACGTGGTCGGACCTCAAACTCTCAGCCACATGCGTGCTTTCGTCCACACTGAAACGTTAAGATCAGAGCGATGACTCTTCGACCAATGCTTCCGCCGACTAGTTTGTGCAGCTGATGAATCTGAATTACAAGACTTAACTAAGTGTGCCTCCACGTGTGTTTTTCACAATGCGCAGGCCGTACGCGTCCAGGGGACAGAGTTCCTTACCTGGTGGCCTAGTTATTTACGTTGTGCATGTCAAAATACATGAGAAGTATATATCTGCATTACTCTGCTAGCTGTCTAAAGTTTTGCATGGACAGGTGTAAACGCACAGCAGTTACCCAAAGAGGAATTACGACCTGAGGATGTGAGCGTTTTGGATGATATTGCGTTCAATGTGTTCTTACTTATGGGTTCCTAAAGTTATTGTAATTGGGAGACTAATTTATACAATGAAGTATAGTATAATCCAGACGCCTGACCTTATATGTAGCACTTCTAATTTCAATGGCTGAAAAGTTTAAAGCTGACATGTATTTACCACACACCTATCGGTGCGATAATGTGAACCTAGATACAATATTTGTACGAGGAAGTAAGGGTATTTTGAGAAGTTGAAGTACCAGGTACCAGTTGAAGTAGTACCAGGTAAAGTATGACTACAATGAAGATCTCCAAATTCTCCGGGTGCAAAACACGACGTGTTGGAGTGTTCGAGTATATATGGAGTCTTTGAACGCGAGCTCCATTTCATTATACTGACATGTCTCGACCGAATCGAAAGGCAGACTAGCATCAGTTAGCTCATCTGGAGTTGGGGAGCACTGATTTTTCACCTGAATTTAATAGGTTACCTTGAGATACAATCGCTCACAAGCAATGTGGGAGACGAAATTAAAGGTAATTTTTCTGTGATTCACACGGGACTCGTCGGCGGTTGCAGGAATGGACAGTGGCACACCGTCCACATTCGAAGACTGTGTGGGCTATATGACTGCGAGCGCGAAAGCCGTACAATCTGCGCTGTCTGATAACTATCCTTATCTGTTCTGTATGTGCATTGCCTAGTTTCCGTTTATGGGTAAAGATTATAGCAACGGGACAAAAATAGCAAAATTAGTGAAATCTTCAGGCCATCGAAAACACTGTCCCGAAACATCAATTAGAGCGAACAGCTACCAGCCACTTTATCGATGTCGCCTTCATTCTCAAAACTGAGGCGATGAACTATACAAACCTTGGCTGGCGCTAAGCTACTTGATTAGTGCTAAAGTAGTATGAACCGAATATAAAATAACGCAAATCTGGGAGCGCCACTAGATGCAACGGATGACTGCAATTAATACTCTACAGAGAACATAAATAAAACAGCTTGTTTCTTACACCTACCTTTGTATGGAGTTAAAGACGTAGTATTCAGCTGGGACTGATTCACTAGGCTCGTGCTTCCTTGGCTAGTTGGACAAAAAGTTGGGCTTGAGGCAGCAGGACCATACTTGCTATTGCACTCACGACAAGCGTAGCTCCGACCGTCAATCGGCGTTGGGCTGAAGAACTGGTTAAGCAGATCTTGTAAACTGCACTCAGTCGCCTCACCATTGTAGCAATCAGGAGGGAGGGCTAGACTGAGCTCCGAAAATGGTTCCTCAGTACATGCAATGACGTTGCAGTTGGAACAGCGAACATGACTTACCGAGTGACCTTGAAAGGTACGATTGACGAAATCACGTGAATTCAGTGGAGCCGTGCCAGAAACACTATGCATTTCTGATTGAAGCCGATCTAGAAAGACGCTAAGGAATTCTTCTGCATCTTGTTGTCTATAACCTTTGAACGCAGGCAAAGCTGTCCAAATGGAATACAGAAGATTGCTTGGACTAACAACTGTCCGTTGGCCTGACCAGAGCAGGCGAAGTACACTGTATAGCTCCTCATAAATGGATGTCTGTCTTGGACCTAGGTGATCGGATTCTTGGGAAGCCATCGGGAGTTTTTCCTGAGAATTTTTTACGCCACAACGTCCACCGTTCAATCCACCACCGGAGACTAACGGTTCGGACGGATCCTTGGCATTAAATGCAGGATTGACAAGCACAGAACTACGGTCAGGAGAACAAGTAATGTCAGACACTGAAGCACATGGAACCGAAGAAGGCTGTACAGCTGAGTGACGGGAGGGTGTACTAGGTGGTGACCTGCTTGCTGTTGAAGCATCCAGAAAACATGGATGATTCTGTAAGACAGGTTGGTCAGTTGTACAGTCAAGGGAAGTCGCGTTTTGATATCGGCGTTTCTTGGCAGATGGCAGAATGTCGGAAGGGGCATGACTCATCACAAAGTTTGCAAAGGGGGCGGTATGACTAAAAAGGAGTTTGTAAACCAAAAACATGCGTACGCATCAACTTACCGAAGGACCTGTAAGACGGAATTCATGTAACATGTATTGCCTAAGTTCCGTAAACCCGTGAAGGAGGGTGAAAAGGTAAGCGGGGAATTCGGTTTTCTCGAAGAGGCCCGTACTCGGGCAGACGGTCCAAGAAGACGCTAAAAGGTTGCATAAACAAGATAAGAAGAACTGTCTACCTTCTTCTCAACGTAAACAGACCACCATTGACGCAGAGCCCAAGACAAACGAGAATACCTAGAAATATCTTTGACAAGAATGATCGTACCGGTGCCGCATCACAGCAGTCTGAATATCATCAGCTTTCAGTAGGCGACTGGTGGCCCTATGGTGAAAACTGAAGGATCACTGGTATCTACCAACCTTTTGGCATTCCGCATATGATATCTTAAGATGCGCCGGCCTCTCTTTTGCTTGTATAATTCCTCAAAATTCTGATCCGCCACAGCATCCAATGCCATGCGTAATAGTTTTATGTCGCCCGGTGCATTGTCATTCAGTACAAAATCGTCACAAAGGTAACTATAACAACGGAAATGAACGTCAGACAAGCACGGCCGACTTACCAAAATACGAATTTTTCGTTAACTTCAATGCAAAGTGGATGCTAAGTGAATATGTGTCAAAGTAAATCAGACCATACTCCAGTGGCTTGAAAGTGCTGCAATGCGTGTTCTGCAATATAGCGTCCACAAGCGAAATTTGTGCATGACAGACAGGCCCAAACGCTTTCTGTTGTGTTACATACATGGCAGTGCCATTTATCCGGACTTAGAATGCCTAACTGAATGCTAGTTCTAATCTTCACCACATGCTTGCAGTTGTCAGTCATATGGGACCTGTAAAGGGATAAAATTGTTATCGTTAATTTGAGTACGAAAATATTCTTCAACACTTCAAAAATAATTCGCAACAAGTTATGCCCCCATCTGAAATTGGGAAAAGCCAACCGCTAAAGACCAGTTCATAAGCTATTTTTCATGCGGTTCAAATGTCCGCTTAAAGGAGTGCAGCAAAACTCCTCTACGAGGAATTATACATATGTGGAAGCACTTTTTTTAAACTGGAATCTGTCCTGTCATATCCAAAAACCGCTATAAAATGGATACTTTATCGCACCGCTGATTATCATGCGTAACACGTGACAGAAAACATTCAGAAACCAAGAAAATAAATGGAAAGATAGTTTGTGATCCACAGGTGGATCATAGTGAAACAAGAATTAGTGACAATTCGAGCAAGCAATTATCTTAACCTATGATATAACCATTTCTGTGGTACGCCTGAAAATCTTCTACTCTGCAGTACGACCGATTGTGGTGTAACCCAACCAAATATTTCATAAACAGTGTTTATACACATTTAGTTTTGATTACGAAACACAATTAATTTTTCCATAACGATACCGTCGTTATTATCAACGAATTAGACTTTTCCACAGGATATATTCTATCGCCTACCTTTTCCCCCTTTCAAAGTCCATTTCTGAATCATTTACTCCCACAATTCCTAGAAGCATTTTGTGACCGACAACTCACCGCTAAGTCCCTCAGTTTTGCTTCAAAATTGACAATTTAAGGATCCGAAGCTTATTGTGAGTAGACACGCGAACTGATTTTTCGCTGGCCTTTGGAGATAATAACAAAATTATGCACTTGATTCCCTCCTCTAATTCCATACCTTGCGAATACCACGTTGATGTGGCGGTCGGTGCTGCTATTATCTCGGGTGAGAGACTTGAATTCGGTAAATGAGACTGCATCTGAGTCAGCAATCGTTTGTGCTAGTAGGGGCTCAGCGCCCTTGGTCATTTCTGCGTATACTCCTACAGACCCTATCTTTAGACAACCAAGGATGAATTTTGTAAGCCGCAGAACGTGGTTCGTCGCGCATCTTCTTTGGATGTTATAGTGCTGGTTGGTTTTTGCTTGAACACTGTCCCACCATATAGTGCGGGTAGCAGAAAAGAACAAAACATATAGTAGGTTTGATTAATTTTTTTTAACTTCGTGGTAATCCAGACCCACTAAACTAACATAAGCGCCAGCTATAGTCAAAACCAGCCATGCGTGTCTAGTGACGCCAGTTTGAAAAAAGTTGTCCTTCGACTAGGTAAGTACACAACCACCAAGTGCTGGAACCACGCTTTTCTTTCTCATACGTGCAGCATACAACGCTACCCAGAGATCATGAGCAACTTTAATTAAAGATAGGTATACAAATCATCTAACCCACCAACTGGAATGGATCATTTTGGGATCCAACCAAAGCAGCCTGTCTTACTTTTTTGTCCCTCCCCCCCCCCCCCCCCCCCCCCCCCCCTTCCCCCCCCAACAC